AACAGAGCAGTCTTTATTTTTTTCAATGTTGGTGTGTCCCTCCCTGTATGACTGACAGATAAATGTGAGTGGTAGTCTGTCTCCGTGCTATATCATAGTGTGTGGTGGGCGTAGGCACCGGCCCCACCTTGGTAACTGTACTGGCATTTAAACAAGTATGTGTGTATCCATGGAGCTGGTAATGGCCAGTTAATACTGCTGAATGAAAACTGCACCACCTTTCACAAACGTGTTGGGTGACACAACAGCGACTCGTGTAGTTCACACATTAATACTAATACATTCATAAATACATTTTACATTTTAGTCATTTAGCAGACGCTTTTATCCAGAGCGACTTACAGTTAGTGAGTACCATAAATTTTCAATACATCGAATTTATCACATTGCTGCATGCTCACGTGAACATACACAGACAGACAGGCAGACAGACAGACACAGACAGGCGGACAGACACAGACAGACACAGACAGGTGGACAGACACTTTCTGTAATAAACCCCTCAGTGTGCATGTGATCGTCTCCGATTTTCTGTGGCTTTGATTTGAATCCAATGTAAGCGTTAATATAGCTAACCAACTAAAGCCGCTGCTGACGGCCTGTACCCTGTCCCCTGGAGACTGTCCCCTGGAGACTGTCCCATGTCCCCTGGAAACTGTCCCATGTCCCCTGGAGACTGTCCCCTGGTGACTGTCCCCTGGAGACTGTCCCCTGTCCCCTGGAAACTGTCCCCTGGAGACTGTCCCCTGTCCCCTGGAGACTGTCCCCTGTAAACTGTCCCATGTCCCCTGGAGACTGTCCCCTGGAAACTGTCCCATGTCCCCTGGAGACTGTCCCCTGTAAACTGTCCCCTGGAGACTGTCCCCTGGAGACTGTCCCCTGGAGACTGTTTGCCTGCTCATTATCTTAACTTTCAGCTGTTTAGATTTCATGATCAAAACAGAGCCGCTTTTGTTTTGATGCTCCCAATTTTCCCCCTTAGTGTGGTGGCGCTGAGTCCCGGCACACACACACACACACAGAGTAGGTGTACACACACACACACACACACACAGTAGGTGTACACACACACACACACACACACACACACAGAGAGTAGGTGTACACACACACACACACACACACAGTAGGTGTACACACACACACACACACAGTAGGTGTACACACACACACACACACACACACACACACAGAGAGTAGGTGTACACACACACACACACACACAGTAGGTGTACACACACACACACACACACACAGTAGGTGTACACACACACACACACACACAGAGTAGGTGTGTACACACACACACAGTAGGTGTACACACACACACACACACAGTAGGTGTACACACACACACACACACACACACAGAGTAGGTGTGTACACACACACACACACACACACACACAGTAGGTGTACACACACACACACAGAGAGTAGGTGTACACACACACACACACAGCGTGGGCGTGCTGATGAGTCTTGTTTTTGATTGGGGTTTAGAACATTGGAGGAAGAGAATTATCCGGAGGTTTTGTGAGTGCAGTGACCTCTTTCGGAACAGTGTTTTTGCCAGAGAAGACAGGGCATGGAGCGACACTCAGTCCCCATCACCCACACCAAGAACCACTGTGTCAATGCCCACTGTTTTGCTTTTTGTGTAATTTGTTGAAACCATACAAAGCCTCTTGTTGAAGTGCAAAAGAGAAGATCTTTCAAATCTCAAATGTTTTGCCAAATTCCCATGGTGGACAGAATGTCAGAACTTATCCGACCCACGTAGGACAGGAGGACCATTCATTGTGGCCCAGCTCACAGCTCAACGCACACCACACACACCCCCACACACTCACATGCGAAGGGAGTACCCCGTCCTGTCCTATGAAACATACTCTCAAACCCCACACCATGCACTCACACACAAAGGAAACCCCTAGATGCCCCCCCCCTGTCCTGTCCTATCAGAAACTGCTCACCCAATGGCTGGACTTCTGACCAATGGCTGGACGTCTGACCTCAATGACTTCATTCCCAGAAACCACCAGGATTTAGAAAAAACTAAATGTGGGCTGACGTGACAGCACGGCTGTGCAGCTCAAGACACGGAACTAAATCAATTTATTTCCTTGGTATTTTTACCTAAGGAGAGTTTCTATGTGTCAAGATTAACTGGAATCCATGGTACAGTTATCATTAATCTGCCACTACAAACCACAGCTAACTCTAGCTAAAAATCATAGGCGCATGTAGGGGCACGCACCCAATTGGGTGGTTTGTAGTGGCTGATTAAAGATAACTGTACCATGGATTCCAGTTAATATTGACACATAGACTAGTAGTTTCAGGATGAGGAAACCTGAACCTCTCCTTAGGTAAAAATACCAAGGAAATAAATTGATTTAGTTCCGTGTTTTGAGCTGTTCAGCCGTGCCGTCACGTCCGCCCACATTTCATCAGGTTTTAAAATCCTGAACTTCCTTTTTGGGGTCATGGGGAATGTTTGATCTAAAAGTGCATGTGATGACAGTGGTTTATAAGGCAATATGTCATCCAAAATGTTTACTGATCATGTAAACATAAATCAGTGTACAAAGGCAAAGAGAATAGCCTAGCGGTTAAGAGCGTTGGGCCAGTAACGGTCGCTGGTTCGAATCCCTGAGCCGACTAGGTACAACATCTGTTGATGTGCCATTGAGCAGGGCACTTAACCCTAATTGTCACTGTGGATAAGAGCGTCTACTAAAATGTCAAATGTGAATGTACCACTGGCAGCAATACTGTGTGCAGGATTCTTTTTCCAATTTCCTCATTGTTAACATCTCTAAAACGTGGATCTCATGGGGACATTGTCTTGTATGCAACGCACCTCTGCTGGCTACATTCTTGACTGGCATCCACCTAAAACTTGAACCAGAATCCAATGTATTACTCTGTTACTGCAGGTGCCATGTAAAACATTCTGTATATGCTATGATGACCAAAGACAGTAACTTGACTGGTCTCTTGTCTTCATTCATTTGAAAATAACCTACGTTATTTTGTGGAAACTTTTCTGGTCGTACCACATTTCAGAGGTCACTAGAGGAAGAAAGAATTGTCCACACGTCTAATTATAGATTCTTATCTTAGGTTTGTGGTGTGCAGAGCAATAAGTCATTTGTTATGAATAGCGAGAATAGCAAGGTTCATTATTGAAATAAAGGAACATCTAACCTTAAGATGGAATAAATGAGGAACACCTAACCCGTAAGATGGAATACATGTTCCTTTATTTCACTGCAGAGACAGTGCTGACCTTCCTCTGTTTTCTATTAATTGAAGAATAGAAGGCAGAGTCTCGAGTTCTTTTTTACTTGGATCGATTGATAACTGGACATTCCCATACCAAGGCCAACTTCCCGTGTTACAAAAACCCAAATCCACTGAGTTACACTTCCTGTTTTGTCATGCTTCCTCTGACCTCTACCATCCCACAGATATATTTCTCAATCTCTTACATTCCCGTTACAGATCTTCCTATCAGGCAGCAGCAGCTATGTCATTATTTTAATTTACCTGCTCTTTGTCTGCCAGTGAACTGGTCAGTCAGTGACCAGATGAGCTCAACTTTGAAACAAAGCTCTGTATTTTTCCATGACATGTGTGACACACATCCGCTAGTGGAGCGCATCAGTCCACTGTTCAATGGTGTACTGCCATCTGGTGGAGACCACAGAGAAAGACACATCTGAACGTCTATAATTAGCATCCCTTATTAGTAGTGCCACTTCATTGTTATCACGGTGTAATGTTACTGAATATTCACTTTGAATATAAATATGATATTATACAACCAAGTCACCCTACTGACACATCTAAGCCAGTCAACTTCAATGAAACTCAGATGGGACGAACACAATGAACACCAAAGCCATGTCAACTTTATTTCAAGTTTAGGAAATGCAAATCATTTGCCAGAGCAACATTTGACAAATAATGTATATCCAAAGCACGTAAAATATAAAATATTTTCAATATAAAATAAAAAAATAAAAAATAAAATAGATAATCATAAAACCCCGATACATGTGAAAGCGTAAACTGTACAGCACAAATAACCCATAGAAAATGTGACAATTGTGAGCAGACAAAATCCAACAGTCAGATAAACAAATACTATGTCTCTTTCAGCTGGATATTAACCATTCCTTGAAAAAGAGGTGTATGGAAAGGGGGATACCTAGTCAGCTGTACAACTGATTGCATTCAACTGAAAGGTGTCTACCACATTTAACCCAACCCCTCTGGATCAGAGAGGTGCGGTGGGCTTCCTTAATCAATGTCCACATCTTCGGCGCCTGGGAAACAGTGCGTTAACTGCCTTGCTCAGGGGCAGAACAACAAGATTTGTACCTTGTCAGCTCGGGATTCGATCCAGCAACCTTTCGGTTACCGGCCCAACACTCCTACCCGCAAGGCTACCTGCCGCCCCATAATTGGTATAAGCAAACATACTAACTCCACATTTCAATCTTGAACCTCTTTCTACATTGATATTTTTTCCGCCAACCGAGACCTCAAGGTTTCTAAAACCAATTATCTCCAATATCCTAACCCTAACTGTGTTCCCAAGTCACACAGTGATACTGCAGTTTCTTATTCAAAAAAGTCACTGTGTATTTGCATAGCCAGTCGCCATTGATTTGCATTGAAGTACGTGGAGTGTGTTTACTGTGGATGGAAACCTGGAGAGGACAGCAGGCTATTATATTATGGCCTGCATCACATGACCGTCTGTCTGCAAATAAAAAGCCACAGAGGGAAATGTGGTACACAAATTCAGCAACTACTAAAAAATAGATACAAGTGGAGAGACTAACATAATAATGGTTATTTGGAACTTTAAAAAAATCCATCAGGTCCTCTCTCTGAGGTCCATCAGGTCCTCTCTCTGAGGTCCATCATGTGCACTGTAGTGAGCGTCCACTTTCTTTGCTCCATTCTGATGACGGTGATATTGTTTATAGCCATTTATATGCGAGGAGGAAGATGATGATGCAAGTAAGCAGCACCATCATCATCACCGCTGACACCAGGAGGGAGGCTCTGCATGCTGGTCTACGAAACAGTCTCATCAGCCCCCCGAGCCTTCCTCCCTGCCCCGCCTCTACGTCCCCCCTCCCACTGCCTCCTGAGGAGCTAGGCAGCCCCACATCCAGAGAGTGACTAACAGAACGCAGCGAGTTCAGGGGGGGGGGCCCATCGGTGGTCCTCTTCACCTGCAGCTTGCCCTTGTTGCGGTTGAAGCGGATGCTGTAGACGCGCTGCATGGCGGCGGGGAGGTAGGAGAGCACGGCTGGGTCCGTGGTCAGCTTGGGCAACCCCAGGTCAGGCAGCGGGGTGAGTCCCCGGCACAGCGGGCACTGGATGCAGTCCGGCTTGGCCGACTTGACATTCATACGGGCCAGGCACTCCAGGCAGAAGGTGTGATTGCACTGGAGCATCTTGGGAGTGCGGAAGACATTGTTGAACTGGCTGAAGCAGATGGCACATTCCAGGTCTGGGGCGCCCTCGTCAAGCGGGGGCTGGAAACCCAGGTCAGGCTCCTGGTAGGGGTCCATGGCTGGGACCGGTGGGCAGCAGTGGGAGGTCAGCGGAGCCCTTAGCATCAACCGGAATGTAGGAGGTCAGCTGCCACGGACATGAGACCGCTGGCAGCCTGAGGAGGACACAACATTGAGGTGATGCACCTGTGACATGGCACCTCTTACCCAGGGGCGTATTCATTAGTGCACACGTTTTGTTAACGAAAAATGTTTTGGAATTAAAATGAGCATTTGTTATTGGACAAGTTCAGGTTAGTCCCTCCCGGGTTTTGGCCCGTTTGCTTCCTAGTGAATATAACCCCAGGGAAGTAAGGTAATGTCAACATAGAAATACCATTGATAATGAAGGAAACGTCTCAGTGCAGAGCTAATCTCCTATTCAATCTGTAATCCCTCCCGTAGATAGGAGGCTGTGTTACACAAGAGGGTGGAGCAGCAGCTAATCATCATTCGCCTACAGAAAAACATGTGTTCATCACACACTGGGTATGTCCCAATTATCTCACCTTCCTCCGAAAGTGTGCAATTATTCACTTCCCTTCACTGATTTGAAAAGGAAATGACAGGAAATGTGGTGGAAACTCTCACTAGCCCATAAATGCAGTAAAGGGGTCAATGGAACGCAGCACATTCAACAAATCTGATCTATTGGTTATTAGTCAAATCCGTCATGATTGATGTATTGTAACAGACCCACAATGTGGTTACTAAAGTCAGATTTTGATATATTTTGGCAGTTTTTTGCTGCACAACATTTAGAAGTTGTCCCTTTTCAAGTTTAGAATAAGTGACTGCTAAATGCTAACTCCCATTCGTATAATCTGGTTAGCATAGTTAGCATACTGAAAACGGTGGTGGTAGTCAGTCGTTTTTTAACTGTAACGCAGTTGAATGGTTAAGATGGCATGAACATGTGTTGGGGTTGACATCCATACAAGCATTATACTCCAATTTTAACCACAACATAGTGTGACATACACAAACAATAACCTAAATGTAGGTACATTTTTCTGGGGGCACTGAGGAGTCGGGACCTTTCCCCACGTGTTTCCATGGCATTTCCATTATTTTGGTTGAGTTTGATTACCGCATCTATACCTCCACCAATCCAACGCTTTTAGATTTGTGGGAAAGAACGAACGAAGTGCAAACTTCATGAGAAAGGAGATATTATCTGGACACTCACTCAGAAAATGTTCCTGTTTATTGAGGGAGCATAATTTTTATTTAACCTTTATGTTGCCAGGGAGTCAAAGCTGAGACCAAGGTCTCTTTTCAAGATGAGCCCTGTTTAGCGCCACAATATACATCAAAATACAGTATACACATTAAACTAAACATCCCCATATTCACATTAAATACACATTATAGAGGCAACAATTCTTCAGATATTAAAGTGCATTGGAGATCATTCCACACGGTTTTGAAATAGACAAGATGGCAGTGCACACATTGTTGGATTACTTCATGGAGAAAAACATTTTTATTTAATTGAACTGAGCATTTTAAATTCAAAACAACCTGCAACTACACGGCCTTCAAAGCTGGAACGTGTCGTCTTCCAAGTCAGGAATTGAGGAAGTAATCGCCAAGTAAAGGTTTGTCGAAAATATTCTCTGCGCTACGCTTAACATTAGCTACCTAATAACACCTATCAGCCAGCTGGAGGCACATTAGTAATAAACTAAACATATTTTTAATAGCTAGCTTAATCTGTGTGTGAGAAGACACCCCTCAGAATTATATGTCAATAGTAGCCCAGTTCCATTACATTCCACATAAGAGTCATTGGACGAAGGCGGCTTCTGTAAGGGGGGGGGGGGGGATTTTGTTAAATTTTGTGAAAATTTAACACACATCGCTTTGCCGTACGATTTTGGAAGCATAAGGACGTCATCTTTCATATCAGTGAGAAATAATTTTTAAAAATAAAAAAACGAAAAAAAATGGATACACACCTTTATAGTGTTCCCACACGGCCATATTTCCATGTTACGGCGCTTGTTTACGGAAAACAGACGGAAGACAGAGTGGCCTACCTGTGCTAATTAGCGACCTGCGTCTCCCAACCCCTGTGTGTAAACGGAAGACACAAATGCGTTGTCACTGAAAAATACTGTTGGCTGCAAATTTTGAATTTGTGAAATAATTTTGGTGTGATACGAAAGTAGAGGATTTTATGTTTCTAGAACCGTACCGCAATTGAGAATCGATTCACGTTTAGATGGAGTATTTGGCTTCCAGTTCACCCTTTAAACAGAACATGTAAGTTCCTTGGACTATAAGGAGTAACGTTAGGTTCCTTTAGTCTAATACTGAGCTATGCCAATAGGTATTGTAATATGGCTCACCAATCTAACTGCAAAGACCTTGCTGCAGTGTCTCCTTGAGTGTTCTTAAAATGCATGCAAGGTGAACATGTTTTTAGGTGGTTTAATTTAAAGCATGCACCCCTCTCACATTTATGGGTCAAAGAAAGTAGTCATAGTAACACATTTTGGTTATTGTGTGCAAAAGGTTAGGACAACTTTAGTTCCACCATCTACCACTATACTAGTATAGGCTATTAGCTGACATTCCTTATGAAGTAGTCTATCAACTCATAGAAATACATGCAGAAAGGACTGATGGATCATGTGTAGGCTACATCACCCGAGTGAGAAACACATTCAAGTTCATATTTCTTACAGTTCAGGCAAGGCAACATACACCAATATTCAGTTTCCATAAACCCCCTGAGAAACAGGCCTACTTACTGGTAAAATTGGTGAATCTGGATAACACGACAGTATGTATTCCGACCTACATGGTAAAAAGAAAGAGGAAATGTTAGGCTACATCGAATGTGTGGAACTGGAATAAAATCCTTATTTGACAGGTGTGAGGAGGAGTGACTTCCAATGGGCCTTTTGTCCTGAAAGCTGCAGAGAAGAAATACAAGCCTGCTTTCGTCACTTCTGAAAGTTTTAATCCCCCGAGTCCAATTTAAAAAAAGAATGGTTATGAAATGTGGAATGAAAAACTACAGCTGAAGTAGTTTACCATGTCTCTCATATAGTCCTGTTAGTATATAATATAGTTGCCGATGAAGGGCGACCGCAGGCAGATCTCCTGGAGCAAGGTCATAGCGGGCGCTCCTCCAACCAAACTGTTGATCTTTTGGTTGTGACGCTACTTTGCTTCAACTCAGCTCCCTTGCTCTCGGCTTTGTTTAAGTCAATATTTGAATACTGCTACAATATGAGGAAACATGTACGGGGTAGCTAGTCAAATGAGCGACTCGGAAATATTAGACCCATCTGTGTAAACGAAACATCCTTGGCTCCGTGAGAGAGCGAGCGGCCATCAGTGGGTAGTAATTTGGAATTGCCCAAATCTAATATTGCGGTTGTTGCAACTGTGGCGACTTCATGTTGATTAGCGAGTCGACCCGCCAACTGTCATGGGCTGTAGGATAGATAGACACTACGCTATGAAGTTACTATTATTTATTATTATTTATTAGTAATGCAGTACAGGATTTTATATAAATAATTGGATGTCCAAAAACCCGCTTGCTTGGCAAAACATTTTGATGAGGATAATTCTTGTGAAATGTGAGTAGTAAGCCTACCTACGAATGCTTCGGGTGGCTGTTCATGTTTTTGAAAATGTTCATTGGCGGCAGATGAGGACAGGAGAAATGTAAGGAGTAGGGTGAAGTTCCCCTAGATGCTGTTCTTGGGTCAGTTTTGCATTTCCCCAACTAATGGCTAGGGTTAGGATTGGGGGAGGAGAAGCTGACCCTAGATCTGTACCCATGGGAAACTTCACCCTGGAGCGGCAGGTAAGGACAGGTGAGACCTGTCTTGTCTCTGTCACCCGCATCGTTTTGAGGGTGTCCACTAAGGACTCTTGAGAGATGGAAGCGTTGTCATTCCATTGTCAAATCCACTGGTGAAATTAGTGAATGTGTTGGCATTGGTAAAAACAAAAGACTGACATAACAATCCAATTTATTAAGATGAAACATAAAAGACCAACACAGACGGAGCTAACACAATGGGACCCACACACACACACCTTCTCTTATTCTGTTCAAATATGGCTTACATCCCAAATTACACCCTATTCCCTGTTTAGTGCACTACTTTTGAACAGGGCCCATAGGGCTCTGGTCCAAAGTAGTGCACCATATAGGGTATAGGGTCCCATTTGGGACCCATCCAAAGGAGACTCAATGGGATGGTTAGATTCTAACCAAGAGCATCATTGATTATTACACAGAACAGTGCCACCTCATGCTTGTGGCTCCTCATCGTACCACTCATTAGAACATATCAGTTGACTCTGAATGACACTGACGCAATGTCTGTATGCATACTGAACAAAAATATAAATGCAACATGCAACAATTAATTTTTTTTGCTGCGTTAAGAGTTCATATAAAGGAAATCAGTCAATTAAAATAAATTCATTAAACCCTAATCTATGGATTTCACACGACTGGGTGCAGCCATGGGTGGGCCTAGGAGCGCATCGGCCCACCCACTTGGGAGCTAGGACCAGCCAATCAGAATGAGTTTTTCCTCACAAAAGGGCTTTATTACAGACAAGGTGCACCTGTGTAATGATCATGCTGTTTAATCAGCTTCTTGATATGCCACCGGTGGATGGATTATATTCTCAAAGGATAAAATGTTCATTAACAGGGGACGTAAGCATTTTATGCATATGGAACATTTCTGGGATCTTTTATTTCAGCACATGAAACCAACACTTTACATGTTGCGTTTATATTTTTTGTTCAGTGTATGTTTGTATGACACCAACAGGCTCCTGAACAGCTTCTATCCCCAAGCCGTAAGACTGCTAAATAGCTAACAAAATGTCTACATTGGCTTTCTGAGTTGACCCGTGTATTTCTCTATGCACACTCACAGGACTCTACACACACTCACTTATACTGGCTCTACACCCACACTCAGTCATCATATACACTGCTGCTACTCTGTTTATCATATATCCTGATGCCTAGTCACCTTACCCCTATACATATCTACCTCCATCACTCCGGTATCCCTGCACATTGTACATATGGTATTGGAACTGACCCTGTATATAGTCACCTTCCCCCTATACAGTGCCTTGCCAAAGTATTCATCCCCCTTGGCGTTTTTCCTACTTTGTTGCATTACAACCTGTAATTTAAATGGATTGTTATTTGGATTTCATGTAATGGACATACACAAAATAGTGGTGCGTGCATATGTATTCACCCCCTTTGCTATGAAGACCCTAAATAAGATCTGGTGCAACCAATTACCTTTAGAAGTCACATAATTAGTTAAATAAAGTCCACCTGTGTGCAATCTAAGTGTCACATGATCTGTCACATGATCTCAGTATAAATACACCTGTTCTGAAAAGGCCCCAGAGTCTGCAACACCACCAAGCAAGCGGCACCATGAAGACCAAGGAGCTCTCCAAACACGTCAGGGACAAAGTTGTGGAGAAGTACAGATCAGGGTTGGGTTATAAAAAAAATATCCAAAACGTTGAACATCCCACAGAGCACCATTAAATCCATTATTAAAAAAATGGAAAGAATATGGCACCACAACAAACCTGCCAAGAGAGGGCCGCCCACCAAAACTCACGGACCAGGCAAGGAGGGCATTCATCAGAGAGGCAACAAAGAGACCAAAGGTAACACCGAAGGAGCTGCAAAGCCATGTAAGAGACTCCCCAAATATCTGGAAGAAGGTACTCTGGTCAGATGAGACTAAAATTGAGCTTTTTGGCCATCAAGGAAAACGCCATGTCTGTCACAAACCCAACACCTCTCATCACCCCGAGAACACCATCCCCACAGTGAAGCATGGTGGTGGCAGCATCATGCTGTGGGGGTGTTTTTCATCGGCAGGGACTGGGAAACTGGTCAGAATTGAAGGAATGATGGATGGCGCTAAATACAGGGAAATTCTTGAGGGAAACCTGTTTCAGTCTTCCAGAGATTTGAGACTGGGATGGAGGTTCACCTTCCAGCAGGACAATGACCCTAAGCATACTGCTAAAGCAACACTCGAGTGGTTTAAGGGGAAACATTTAAAAGTCTTGAATAGTTATGCATGCTCAAGTTCAGTTTTTTTTTGTCTTATTTCTTGTTTGTTTCACAATTATTTTTATTTTGCATCTTCAAAGTGGTAGGCATGTTGTGTAAATCTAATGATTAAATTCCAGGTTGTAAGGCAACAAAACAGGAAAAATGCCAAGGGGGATGAATATTTTCGCAAGCCACTGTACATATCTATCTCTATCACTCCAGTATCCCTGCACATTGTTAATACGGTATTGGAACTGACGCTGTATAAAGCTTCTTACTTTCTCCTGTTCTTTTTATTTCTATTTCTCGTGTGTTTTTGTTCTACCTTATTTTTTTGTGCTACATTTCGAGCTTACGAGAAAGGCATTTCATTGTACTTGTACACATGCCATTCAAACTTGAAACTGAAATTTAAACTATGGGATGTGTTCCCATCAGAATGTGTTAGCCATGTAACTGGCTGTTAACTCCTGTATAAATGTCTGTTGACCCTTTCACGATGTGTTGGTATAGTATATCTCCTTGTCTATCCGATTCCTCGGAGGTAACTATCTACAGCAGGGATTCCCAAACTCTGTTTTTGCCCGTGACCCCACTTTGATGGGGATTTTTTTTTTTTCTCGCAACCCCACCATGTAAAAAAATTAAAAAGTTATGTAATCAACTGCCAACGTTAACATTTTAAATTGGGGCTATGACAGTCTATTTCAAATCAGTCTGACAGAACCTTTGACAGTATTTCAATCTGAAGGACATGGTTTGAAATGACTGAAATGCATCAAAGGTATTGGGAAATTCAGAAGATCATCAGCCAATCATTTTATACTGTATGATCTTCTGTGAAGAAAATAATTTAGTCATTGATGTTCTCCCCCCCCCACGTCTGATTTAGTGCCTGGTCTTGTCCATTCTGTTCTAATGAGTCCTGCTTGTGGCCATTGTAGAGGGGAAGCCACATACGTGTTCCTGAGAGTCTTATCATTCAGTGATGGGGTCATAATATTTTGTAGCTTAAACCGTTCAAAAGATATAGCCACATTTGTATGAAGAAAACAGAAACCTCTGTTTATTACAACCGCATCTAGCGGCCACCGGAGGTTCTATTAACCACTCGCGATATTTTACATTTTATTTCAGTTTCTCTCGAGAACCCATTTTTTAAACAGGCGACCCCAAATGGGGTCGCGAACCCTAGTTTGGCAAACGCTGACCTACAGTGTGGCAGTATCTCAGTCAGTTTAATACATTACATTCCATAAGTAAGATTTTGCCAGTGTAAAAACACAGAAGTATGTCACAGAAGTCGAGTATCACAATCAGGGTTCGACATTAGCACTGCCGAGTTGCGCTGTAGCTCAGTCGGTATAGCATGGCGCTTGCAACACCAGGATAGTGGGTTCGATTCCCGGGACCACCCATACGTAAAAACATTTACACTTTGGATAAAAGCGTCTGCTACAATGTGGCATAAATTGTTATTATATTAGTAAATGGGCACGTGAAGCCATTTCAAATAAACTGTCAGAGAATCTAAGTGTCAATCTCCTCCTGGGAAGTTTCACCCTAGTTTGGCCTAAAGTAGACATTTTACATGACTGGGGTGTATTCATTTGTGGTAAACCGTAGCAAACAAACGTTTTGCAACAAACATTTGCGTTTATTGGACAAGTTCAGTTTAGTCCCTCCACGTTTCGGCCTGTTTGGTTCCTAGTGAATACACCCCTGCACTAGACGGTTCATGATTTATTTATTTATTTATTAATTATAGTGGCCTGTGGTTACAGTTTTTCCTCAAAACTATCTGATTAACGATTCCACAATTGTCTACTTACAGTTAGTAATTTGGCTAATTGTATTTGCTAAAGCTATCACGATCCGCTCAGCCTCCAAACATCCAAAACATTTCTGTTGTACCAAGACATCCCAAAGCAATTAGCCCTCGCCTGATGCTCTGAGTGCAATGTCCAGAGCTCTCCCTGATCAGAATGACTCGCAGGGGTCTTCTCCCGTCGGCTGACCCAGGGATGGTGTCTCCTGATCAGGTCCTTCTGGCTTAAAGGGTCCCACTGGCCTGGAGGTCTGTGTAGCCCACAGTGTAGGGGATCTAGGGCTTGGGGTTACCATGCCGGCAACGGTCCTGTGCCCTCATCAAAAGCGTGCCACCTCCTTTAGGTCCAGCCCATCCGTGCGATGGTGGAGCACGTGGAGTCCTGTGTTGAAGCTGGCACACAGCAGACTGCTGGAGTCACTCGGGGCCAAAGACACCAAAGGACCTGATCCATCCAGGGCCAGAGTGGTCAGACACGCTTCAGAGAGACAGACAGAGAGACAGACAGGAAAATAGGAAAGAACCAAGAAGAATAAACATAATGAGAAGAGAGAGGCCGTTTAGCTCACTGTGGTAGGGTAGGGTAGCATAGATCAGGGTAGGGCAGGGTAGAGCAGGGTAGTGTAGGGTAGCGCAGGGTAGGGCAGAGTAGTGTAGTGTAGGGAAGTGCAGGGTAGCGTAGGGAGGTACAGGGTAGTGCAGGGTAGAGTGTTACCTGCAGTGTTTTGATCCCAGATTTTGACTGAACAGTCATGAGAGGAGGACGCTACGAGCGCAGGGCCCCCGGGGCTGGAGGGCAGGAACACACAGCAAGCAGTGGTCTCCCGGTGGCCCCGGTACTCCACCACCTTACAGCCAGGCTGCCTGAGGTCCCAAAGCTACACACACAAAACACATGAGTGATGTGGGTGTGGGATTCACACACTAACGATACGCCGTAGTAATGGGCTTCATTTCAACTCTACCCTTCTACAGGAGTGTGCACTCGTACACTCCCCCCCTCATGGACTTAAAAAGGGATGGACAGGTGTGAAACTCCCTCCAGCACCAAACCAATGCCTTTCATTGCACATAAGGGTGAGTGACCAAGTGCACAGTTCTGGAGCAGGGTAGAGAATTGGAAACCCAGACAGGGTTGAAAGGTTCTCACCGTAGCCTCACAGCCTTGGCCTCCAAAGCCATTGCTGCTGGACAGGAGATGGTTACCGTTGGCGCTGATGTCACAGTGTGTCTGTATGTATTGCTTGGCTGGGAACGTGTTCGTGACCTGCCAGGTACGACTGTCCCACACCCTGCACATTCAAATACATGTATCAACCTGGAGCTATAGGAGGACGGGCTCATTGTAGTGGCTGGAATGGATTCAATGGAATGGTATCAAACACATTAAACATACGGAACAATAGTTCCGTTCCAGCCGATACAATGAGCCTGTCCACATAGCTCCTCCCACCAGCCTCCTCTGACTGCATTACACACAGTAACACTGTTAGTGATCACACCCTGAGGAAGGACTACCAACAGCATAATACCTATTGCCTGGGTGCCAGTCTGTTACGGCTCTCTTGGTATGCAAAACATGTTTGGCTTGACATTGAAGTAGACCAACAGATCTGGGACCAGGCTATAAACAACTTACCTGATGGTTTTATCCTCGGACGTCTGAACGATTGAGCTGCTCTCAGGTACCCAGCACACATGAGTAACCTGAAAAAAAGAGTCCAGCTCTATATGGATGATCACACGGCATACTGTTTACAATACTTTTTTTGTGTATGTAATAATATAACGTTTAGTAGTGTGCAAGATATCTACATTTTTGTCTGCTTTAAATGCCAGGACGTCATACTCATTTTCCCTTTTCATGTAGTGTGAATTCCTTAAAGGGATATTTTTACTTAAATATATATTTTGAGTATTTTGTTTATTAGTCCCCTGTTGATATGATCCCAAAAATGTTGCATGTCAGCAGTAACATTTTGAAAATAGAGCACTTTCAGTACAAAGCAAAAAAGTGTGATGGTGCAAAATGCATCATATTATGCAAAATGCATCATCACACTTTGTGACCTTATTACTAAATCGTGTTCAAAATAGTATGCAGTACTGTTAGTGCCTAGTAAATACTTATCGTAAACACTATGAAGTATGAGAATTCGGACAGTGTATGAGATATCATCCTACCTTTACAAACCCTTTTTAGTACCCTCAAATCAAGGCATAGAAGAGTCACTCACCAGGTTTCTGGAGACTGTGTTCTTATGGACACGCTCGCCAGACTCAATGTCCCAGAGGCACATAGAGTTGTCACGGGAACCAGTGCACAGCCTCGACCCATCTACCGAAAAGACAAGTATGGTTTACACACACAGGTATTCATTATGGTGTTTTATAAGGTGAAGTGTTAATGCAGGTGTTTGAGGGGTGTAGGGTGAAGTTGCCCCCCCTACACGCAGATTTTCCCCACTAATAGTTAAGATTGGGGGAGGGGAATCTAATCCTAGATCTGCAACTAGGGGAAACTTCACCCTGTTTCTACCTGGACTGACGGCCAGCCCGTTGACCACCAGCTCATGGCCACAGAACTCCTGGATGGGCTCGTCCCCCTGGTTGAGGTCCCACATCATAACACTCTTGTCCCGAGACGCACTGAAGATCCAGGTGCTGCCAGGAAAACACTCCACCTGGGAGAAAGAGAGGAGACTCGATAATTAGATACAGAATATCTACAAACACACACAAAAAAGGTATCGTACCGAAATGTCAACAACAATAAATGTGCAGAGGTAAAATCGTGTGTGCGGGAAATATGAGTATTTTTCTACTCTGTTACTCCCAGCAACACAATATCTATTCTAAAGACTAATTCCAACTACCTCAGAGTGTTTACCTTGGTAACCTCTCTGTTGTGACCTTGGAATGACTGACATAACTTCCCTCCTCTCCAGTCATACACAACCACTGCCTGGGAGGGGGAAAGACACCAGACAGATTAGCAGCCAGTTTCCTGTACTATATTGTCACTCATGTAAAACACCTGCATTAAACCTAGTCAATTTACTCACCATGTCACCTCCTCCAGACACACAGAGGTCAGAGGTCAGGTTGGTGACACAGTTGACGGCATCCCGGTGGGCGGGTTCATACTGTACCACCTGACTGACAGCAGCATCCTCGCCATCGCCTTTGGTCGCCCTGCAGAGGCACAGTAAAATTACACCCCAAGAATAGCCTTCAATTATCTATTAGGCCTATTTGAGGTATGTTATGGGATTGTTACAATCCGAACCAAGCACTGCACAGAATATCTGATCCATAAAACAACTGTGGTAAGGGCTATATCTGGAGTCTGTCTTAAGCAGGTTTTAGATATGGAGTCACTCAGCCTTTGTTGATGTAGCTGGCTGTCTTACTTGTACAGTTCAGAGCGCGACCGTCGGAACTTGCTCTGAAGTTTCCCCATGTTTGTGTCAGAACAACCTGGCTGTGGAAGCAGGCAGGGCTACCACCCAGGTCCCCAACCCATATGAGCAGATTAGGGTACTGTTATTCTTCAACTGTCAACCACCTTCTGCTGAAATATCAACACAATACACAGATTATTGCAACATGGACCCACTCTCAGTCACTTGACACCATTACAGTAGTCTACCTATTCAACTGTGTGATGATGTAATGTAAACACTCCATGAGCTAAATAAATAAGCCGGGCGACAGATAGAAGAAAGCTTTATTCAGGAAGGAGGGTTAAATCCTATTATGATTACTGCCACATCGCATTAACCAAACCCGACGACGACACAACTTCCATAGCTGTAGCAGCGCTATTCGGACACACATTCCAGGTTAACGGTACTTCAATGGTAAACAGATCAAATTATTTTTTACAGTGACTTGTTGTCGAGCTAAAACAGGTGGTGGCAAGCCAGATCGATCTTTGCTTACCTGCCCAGCTGGGGTGCGTAATTGGCTGTGACTACTAGGCTAGCTAGCTAGCTGCGGGCTGCTAGCTAGCTTGCTAACTTAATCTTGTTTTATCTCTCATGCCACGAGAGGTGAATGAGCTAGCTAGCACGCGACGACGCATAATTGTGAAAAATTTGACGACTTTTACTCCCTTATTCTCACAGATAAACTGTACTCCCGTTCCGGAAATTCGTAAACTTTCGCCGTAGATTGCCTCAAAAAACAAATTATTGGCCGCGAACTCGCAGTATTCACTTCCTAGCGACGCGTTCCCTGTTACCAGGCGAACTGAGGTCACCTGACACGGAGGGAGGAGCAACTTTGACAAAATAGCTTTCTTGTTGTCCACTACCAAATAAAAGTCCGTGCTCTCATTTTGTGTGATTTGTGCGTTTGTGCAATTAGGCTAGTGGCGTGGGAAGGCCCCCGTAAGATGATGTAACCCAATATTGCAAGCTCTTATATTGCTAAAACTATTTGCCCTACATACATAAACAAACAACATTATGATAAATTAAAGCATTTTGGAAATATAGTCCTGTAAACACAAAGATACAATAGGAGGAAATATCAACTATTCATATTTATGATGAATGTAAACTTCACTTTTTGTAGCTCTCATTTAGTGCTGTATGGTCCTACCTGACAAAAATACATACAGTAACAGGTTTTTAAACATTTTATGTTGTGGCTACTGTAATCTAGTCTGAGTACCAGTTATGTGGCAGTCCAGTCCCATGGTCTAGTAACTGCCTGAGGGGATGACTGATGGTGGAGTGGGCCTATCAAGGACAGTTCTGGAAGATTCAGGATGGCATTGACATTGGAGAGGTTGCAATTCCTATGACATGTGAAGGTCCAATAAATTGATGGCATTTCTTGTCAATGAGTGTCAGGTTGTGTCGGTTCCTTGTAGTGAACACCTGCCTTGTGCGCTTGTTATGTGTGGTTCCATCCTCTCCATACACCATAACTATCACCAAGTCAACATGGCAATTCCAGGGCACACAGCCAGGATGGTGGACATGATTGTCTGGAAGAAGTAATGTGCCAGCTCAACCCAAACAGGATAAGAGTGCACGGGAACATCCCAATGTACATCACAAATGCATTGAGCCAATGGAAAGTCATGTTGGATTCAGGCAGACAAATTGGACTAGCAATGAATCAAAGTTCACTTCTAAATGATGAGGTGACTTAAGAGCCCAATCCTGTAGGGGCATGTTGTAGAGTGGGGGCAAGTTGTAAAGTTAGGGTGTCAGAGTCTATTGATCTTGGATTCTCTTTTCTTTCAAATCAAATCAAAGTCCATTGTCGCATACACAGATGTTATAGCGGGTGCAGTGAAATGCTTATGTCACCAACTCCTAAAAAATGCAATAAAATGTAAACCAAGTACACAAATAATCAAAAATGTAACAAGAAAGGGGCCTCCCGAGTGGCGCAGTGGTCTAAGGCACTGCATCACAGTGTTGCAGCGTCACTACAGCCTGGGGTTTGATCCCAGGCTGTGTCACAACCGGCCGTGACCGGGAGTCCCATAGGGCAGGCGCACAATTGGCCCAGCGTCGTCCGGGTTAGAGGAGGGTTTGGTCGGGGGGGGGGGTTTACTTGGCTCATCGCACTCTAGCGACTCCTTGTAGCGGGGCGGGCGCCTGCAAGCTGACCTCGGTCATCAGTTGAACTGTGTTTCCTCCGACACATTGGTGCAGCTGGCTTCCGGGTTAAGCTAGCGGGTGTTAAGAAGCGCGGCTTGGTGGGTCATGTTTCAAAGGACGCATGACTCGACCTTTGCCTCTCCCGAGCCCGTTGGGGAGTTGCAGCAATGAGACAAGATTGTAATTGGGTTGCAATTGGATATCACGAAATTGGGGAGAAAAAGGGGGTCATATATGTAACAAGAAATGTTGGAACTAATCCTATTAACAACCCAAATAACACTGCAACAGTAATCCAAATGCTATCTAAATTATATGTACACTGAGTGCACAAAACATTAAGAACACCTGCTCTTTCCATGACATAGACTGACCAGGTGAATCCAGGTGAAAGCTATGATCCCTTATTGATGTCGCTTGTTAAATCCACTTCAATCAGTGTAGATGAAGGGGAGGAGACGGGTTAAAGAAGGATTTTTAAGCCTTGAGACAATTGAGATATGAATTGTGTATGTGTCCCATTCAGAGGGTGAATGGGCAAGACAAAATATTTAACTGCATTTGAATGGGGAATGGTAGCAGGTGCCAGGCGTACCGGTTTGTGTCAAGAACTTCAAAGCTGCTGGGTTTTTCCACGCTCAACAGTTTCCCGTGTGTATCAAGAATGGTCCACCACCCAAAGGACATCCAGCCAACTTGACACAACTGTGGGAAGCATTGGAGTCAACATGGGCCAGCATCCCTGTGGAAAGCTTTCGACACCTTGTAGAGTCCATGCCCTGATGAATTGCGGCTGTTCTGAGGGCAAAAGGGGGGTGGTGCAACTCACTGTGAGGTGAAGACTTTTGGAGGATGGCCTGGTGTCAAGAAGGGCAGCGAGGAAGCCACTTCTCTCCAGGAAAAACATCAGGGACAGACTGATATTCTGCAAAAGGTACAGGGATTGGACTGCTGAGGACTGGGGTAAAGTCATTTTCTCTGATGAATCCCCTTTCCGATTGTTTGGGGCATCCGTAAAAAAGCTTGTCCGGAGAAGAGAAGGTGAGCGCTACCATCAGTCCTGTGTCATGCCAACAGTAAAGCATCCTGAGACCATTCATGTGTGGGGTTGCTTCTCAGCCAAGGGAGTGGGCTCACTCACAATTTTTGATGGGTTCTGCTGGTGTACAGCAATCTTTAAGTCAAACCACAGATTCTCAATTGGATTGAGGTCTGGGCTTTGACTAGGCCATTCCAAGACATGTAAATGTTTCCCCTTAAACCACTCAAGTGTTGCTTTAGCAGTATGCTTAGGGTCATTGTCCTGCTGGAAGGTGAACCTCCGTCTCAGTCTCAAATCTCTGGAAGACTGAAACAGGTTTCCCTCAAGAATTTCCCTGTATTTAGCACCATCCATCATTCCTTCAATTCTGACCAGTTTCCCAGTCCCTGCCGATGAAAAACACCCCCACAGCATGATGCTGCCACCACCATGCTTCACTGTGGGGATGGTGTTTTTGGGGTGATGAGAGGTGTTGGGTTTGTGACAGACATGGCGTTTTCCTTGATGGCCAAAAAGCTCAATTTTAGTCTCATTTTTATTTAGTCTCAATAAAATGTAAAATATCGCGAGTGGTTAATAGAACCTCCGGTAGCCGCTAGATGCGGTTGTAATAAACAGAGGTTTCTGTTTTCTTCATACAAATGTGGCTATATCTTTTGAATGGTTTAAGCTACAAAATATTATGACCCCATCACTGAATGATAAGACTCTCAGGAACATGTATGTGGCTTCCCCTCTACAATGGCCACAAGCAGGACTCATTAGAACAGAATGGACAAGACCAGGCACTAAATCAGACTTGGGGGGGGGGGGGGGGGGGGGGGGGGGGGAACATCAATGACGAAATTATTTTCTTCACAGAAGATCATACAGTATAAAATGATTGGCTGATGATCTTCTGAATTTCCCAATACCTTTGGTGCATTTCAGTCATTTCAAACCATGTCCTTCAGATTGAAATACTGTCAAAGGTTCTGTCAGACTGATTTGAAATAGACTGTCATAGCCCCAATTTAAAACGTTAACGTTGGCAGTTGATTACATCACTTTTAATTTTTTTACATGGTGGGGTTGCGAGAAAAAAAAAAATCCCCATCAAAGTGGGGTCACGGGCAAAAACAGTTTGGGAATCCCTGCTGTAGATAGTTACCTCAGAGGAATCGGATAGACAAGGATATATACTATACCAACACATCGTGAAAGGGTCAACAGACATTTATACAGGAGTTAACAGACAGTTACATGGCTAACACATTCTGATGGGAACACATCCCATAGTTTAAATTTCAGTTTCAAGTTTGAATGGCATGTGTACAAGTACAATGAAATGCCTTTCTTGTAAGCTCGAAATGTAGCACAAAAAATAAGGTAGAACAAAAACACACGAGAAATATAAATAAAAAGAACAGGAGAAAGTAAGAAGCTTTATACAGCGTCAGTTCCAATACCATATTAACAATGTGCAGGGATACTGGAGTGATAGAGGTAGATATGTACAGTGGCTTGCGAAAATATTCATCCCCCTTGGCATTTTTCCTGTTTTGTTGCCTTACAACCTGGAATTTAATCATTAGATTTACACAACATGCCTACCACTTTGAAGATGCAAAATAAAAATAATTGTGAAACAAACAAGAAATAAGACAAAAAAAAACTGAACTTGAGCATGCATAACTATTCAATACTTTTAAATGTTTCCCCTTAAACCACTCGAGTGTTGCTTTAGCAGTATGCTTAGGGTCATTGTCCTGCTGGAAGGTGAACCTCCATCCCAGTCTCAAATCTCTGGAAGACTGAAACAGGTTTCCCTCAAGAATTTCCCTGTATTTAGCGCCATCCATCATTCCTTCAATTCTGACCAGTTTCCCAGTCCCTGCCGATGAAAAACACCCCCACAGCATGATGCTGCCACCACCATGCTTCACTGTGGGGATGGTGTTCTCGGGGTGATGAGAGGTGTTGGGTTTGTGACAGACATAGCGTTTTCCTTGATGGCCAAAAAGCTCAATTTTAGTCTCATTTGACCAGAGTACCTTCTTCCATATGTTTGGGGAGTCTCCCACATGCCTTTTGACGAACACCAAATGTGTTTGCTTATTTTTTTCTTTAAGCAATGGCTTGTTTCTGGCCACTCTTCCATAAAGCCCAGCTCTGTGGAGTGTACGGCTTAAAGTGGTCCTATGGACAGATACTCCAATCTCCGCTGTGGAGCTTTGCAGCTCCTTCAGGGTTTTCTTTGGTCTCTTTGTTGCCTCTCTTATTAATGCCCTCCTTGCCTGGTCCATGAGTTTTGGTGAGGGCGGCCCTCTCTTGGCAGGTTTGTTGTGGTGCCATATTCTTTCAATTTTTTTATAATGGATTTAATGGTGGCTCCGTGGGATGTTCAAAGTTTCTGATATTATTTTATAACCCAACCCTGATCTGTACTTCTCCACAACTTTGTCCCTGACCTGTTTGGAGAGCTCCTTGGTCTTCATGGTGCTGCTTGCTTGGTGGTGCCCCTTGCTTAGTGGTGTTGCAGACTCTGGGGCCTTTCAGAACAGGTGTATATATACTGAGATCATGTGACAGATCATGTGACACTTAGATTGCAC